ATTGGGTGGACTTGGTTCCCTTGTCAAAGGAAAAAAAAAATACGACTATGTATTTGAGAGTCTATTTCTTGACTCTCTGCTTTCTTCCTTTGATCTGCATTTGCTGGCTTTATGCCAATACTACCCTGTTTTGATCACTGTAATTTTTAGTAAGCCTTTTTTTAAAAACAGAATCTCACTCTTTTGCCCTGGTTAGAGTGCCATGGCCTCATAGCTCATAGTAGCTTCAAACTCTTGAGTTTAAGCCTCCCAAGTAGCTGGGACTAAGGGTGCCCACTACAATGGTTTGCTATTTTTTTTTAGAGATGGGGTCTCATTTTTGCTTAGGCTGGTCTCAAACTCCTGAGCTAAAGCTATCCACCTGCCTCAGCCTCCCAGAGTGCTAAGATTACATGCGTCAGCTCCTGCCCAGCCTTTTAGAAAGTTTTGAAATCAGAAAGCCTGAGTCTTTCAAATTTGGTGTGTTTTTGAAAAAAAAAAATTATTCAAGATAATTTTGATTATTCAGGGTCCCATGAGATTCCATACAAATTTCAGGCTGTATTTTTCCATTACTGAAAAAAAATCTTTTATTAGGATTTTGATGAATTTTTAGATAATTTCAGCTATTTTTCATATCTTAAAATTATCAAGTAGTCTAATTCATAAATATTGGATGTATTTTCATTTATTTGTGTCTTCTTTAATTGCTTTTATCAACATTTTGTTATTTTCAACATACAAGTTTTACATTATTGGTCATGTTTATTCCTAAATATTGTATTCCTTTTTGATGCTATTATACATTAAATTGTCTTCCTAGTCTCCTTTTCAGATAGTTTGTTGTTAGTATAATTAAATATACCTGGTTTTTGTAGTTGCTATCAATTTAGTTTCCTAAAATTTTGCTAATTTATTATTGCTAACATAAATGTGTGCTTAGAATCCTAAAATTTTCTACAATATATTATTGTGACACATGAAATACAAATAATTTTACTTACTTCTTTGAAATTAGGATACCTTTTATATCTTTTCCTGTCTAATTGCTTTGGTTTAACTTTCACCAATATGTTGGAAAGAAGTAGTGAAATTGAGTATCCCTGTCTTGCTCGAAATCTTAGATAAAAGCTTTTAGCCTTTCATTATTGAGTATGATATGGCTGTGGATTAAATTCTTTAGTATGACATAATTTTTATATTATTTTAATGTTTTATTCAAGTAATGAGGAGATATGTCAATAGCCTACAGGGTAAAATCTTAATTAGTCACACCCCAAAAGCTGTGACTTCAAATTATACCAGTTTCCCTGTACTTTCCCATGCATTTTTAAACATATTCGTATCATCTAGTGCTTGATTCTTGTATCCCAAATATTCCTATAGCTCCTTGATTCATGATTAAGGCCACTATGGATGGCAGTACTCCCCCTCCTCCACATCAGCACCTCCACAGTTCTTATCTTTCTTCCATTTTCTTAACACAGTTATATTCTACTTTATTTCTGGGGGAGGGGTTAACAGCACCCTTCATTTCCTAGAATTTATTGCTGAAATAAAAATTAATTATTGTAAAACCTGATTTTATTTATACATTTTTATCATTATTAATAGTGTTATTTCCCTGAAGAAGATTTTAGGATTTTGTCTTTATAGGTGATACTGGGTATTTTTAAAAGAATATTTTCAAGAAGACATAATTTTTTGAAAATATTTTTCAGTGAAATGTTTGCTATTTACTTTTTATAATTATTGCATGCTATTCGAAGGTGGAAGCTCATACATTTCAGTTCTGAGGAATTTTTTTTTGCAATATAAACTTCATATTACTTTGCTGTATATATTCCTAGATATGCCCATAAGCATATATTGGTCCTTCTATATTAATTTTCTAATTTTATTATTTTTTCTAAGTGTTTTTTTTTTTTTTTTTTTTTTTTGAGACAGAGCCTCAAGCTCTCCCCCTGGGTAGAGTGCTGTGGCATTACAGCTCACAGCAACCTCCAACTCCTGGGCTCAAGCGAGTCTCCTGCCTCAGCCTCCCAAGTAGCTGGGACTACAGGCACCCGCCACAACGCCTGGCTATTTTTTTGGTTGCAGCCATCATTGTTGTTTGGCGGGTCCAGGCTGGGGAATCAAACCTGCCACCTTAGGTGTACGTGGCTGGCGCCTAAGCCGGTTGAGCTATAGGCGCCAAGCCTTTTTCTAAGTGTTAACCTTTTCATGGTATTGCATTTACCTTTATTCTGATGGATTTCCCCTTTGTCTTTTGAAGCTTTCATTTAATATTTTATCAATTACTATATTTTTAATTTCTAAGAGTCCTTTATTGTTAGTTGTCACTTCCTTTTATAGAGCTAATAATACTCATTTTGTGGATTTCATGGCATCTCATTCTTATTTGAATGTATGAATTAATAACTAAGAAAACAATTGCTTTTCCACATTTCTTCAATCATTTTTTAATTTATTGTATACATATATATGTATGAGTGTGTGTATGTTTGTAACTGTGTGCTTATGTGTTCATGCACAGTGTGTGGATCTCTTTCATATTGTTGTACTTCCTTAAAAATCTGGTGATCTTTGACTCTACAGCCCTTTCGGTCAAACTATATAAATTTGTACACGGATATCTTATGTTTGGGGTAGAATTCTCTGACCCATCTCCATGCTATTTCCCCCTTTTTTCCATTAGGTGACTTACCATTTCTCTATTACTTTCTTTGAACAATCCACAAAACAATGTATAAAATAATTTTATCTAAGAATGAAAGAAGCAAAGAGACAGAATATATAACCTGTTTGGGGAAAGCTAGAGCAGAAATATGAAAGCTAAAATAAATATGGTATGTACATATTTGGGTAAAGGATCTGCTTTATCTGTTATTGAATATTCGGAAATTGGATGAAGAGATAAAAGAGAAAGGATTCTGGTGAATTGTGGGAATTACAAGCACGAATTAATAGGACTTTGTGTAAGAGGTACTTGGCAATAAAGATTCATTATAAAGTATCTCAGGAATGGAAAAAAATATCCAATGTACTCAGTACTACTATGAAACCAATTTATAATCACTCACCCTTTCATATGAGAGATAAATCACAACTATAGCCCAGGATGAAGAGGGGAAGGGGAGAGGGATGGGAAGGGAGGGAAGTGGTTTGATAGAGAGAGGGTTAATGGGGGCACCACACCTATGAAGCATATTGCAAGGCTACAAGTCAAATCTATCAAGTATTGAACATAAATATCTTAACACTGTGATTAACTAAATGAGGTGAAAGCTATGTTAATTAGTAGGATGTAAGCACTCCAATTTGTACAAATAATCAACACATTGAATCCCACAAAGGCATAAGTGTATTCATGATCTATGTATATATGACTTAATGAAAAAACCAAAATAAAAAAAAAAGATTTCTAAACAGAAGAATTAAATAATGATAACCAATTTAAAGGAATTTTGACTTGACATTGTTGTGCAAATACCACTTGAAAGAGAAATATAGTTCCTCAGAATATAGGCTGATGTAGTTTTTTGGATAAGTCTTTAAAATAAATACAGAAGACAATTTTTCTCATAAGGGCAATGCTAACTTATTAATAATGTGCATCTATAATGTATGGCTCTATGCTGACCTTCTATGTATAATGTTTTGAGTATAACATCTGACTTTTATGATGCCTGAGTTTATGTCAGGCATTAAAACATTCATAACCCATTGAAGCTGTAATAGAAATGTTTTATTCTTATAAATTTATATACTTCTTTAAAAATTTGGTCATAGGTATTTATTTCCCTTATTGAATGTAATCACTGGTTAAGAAAGTAAGATTTTAGCTTTTAAAATATAGAAGATAGGTTCTTCTTTTAAAGGCTGTAAAATTTTATGAATAATTTAGTCTAAAATAAGAAATTTTTTAAAAAATTGGTTTAAAATTCTATAATGTAGGTTTGGCGCTGTAGCACAGTGGTTACAGCACCAGCCACATAGCAATTGGCTGTCAGGTTTGAACTCGACATGGGCCTGCTAAACAACATTGATAACTGTAACAAAATATAGCTGCACATTGTGGTGGATTCCTGTAGTCCCAGCTACTTAGGAGGCTGAGGCAACAGAAACTCTTAAGCCCAAGAGTTTGAGGTTTCTGTGAGCTGTGACACCATGGCTCTCTACCAAGGGCAACATAGAGAGACTATCTCAAAAAAAAAAATGCTGTAATGTAGCTCCTCTTATTCACTGTTTTGCTTTCTATAGATATGGTTATCTGTGATTAACTATGATCTGAAAAAAAATTTTTTTTTTTGAGACAGAGCTCAAGCTGTCGCCCTGGGTAGAGTGCTATGGCTTCACAGCTCACAGCAACCTCCAACTCCTGGGCTCAAGTGAGTCTCCTGCCTCAGCCTCCTAAGAAGCTGGGACTACAGGTGCCCGCCACAATGCCTGGCTATTTTTTTTTTTTTTTTGTTGCAGCTGTCATTGTTGTTTAGCAGGCCCGGGCTGGATTCGAACCTGCCAGCTCAGGTGTATGTGGCTGATGCCTTAGCCGGTTGAGCCACAGGTGCCGAGCCTGATCTGAAAATATTAAACAGAAAATTCAGAAATAGACAATAAGTTTTAAATTGGTTCAGTAGTAGCTGTAGGCTACATCACAATGCCTGCCTTACTCACCTCACTTTATTTCTTTATGCCAGCGTTTAATCATCTCACATCCACACAAGAAAAAGATGGGTAAATATGATATAATAAGATATATAGAGAGAGACCACAGTTATATGACTTTTACACCAGTATATTGTCATAATTGTTCTATTTATAGAACAATTGGCAATCTCTTACTATTTCTAATTTATAAATTGAACTTTATTATAGATATGTACGCATAGGAAAAATCAGCGTATATAGAGTTCAGTCCTATCTCCAGTTTTAAGCATGCACTCAGAGTTGATAAACACATTCTGTGGCTAAAGAGAACCTACTGGAATCAGCTTGCTTATTTTTATATCTCTTTTAGAAAACATCACATGAATTCCCCATGGAATATTATAATCAAACATCAACTGATTTCATCTTATTGGGGTTGTTCCCACCATCAAGAACTGGCCTTTTCCTCTTCACTCTCATAGTTCTTATTTTCCTAATGGCGGTAATTGGCAACCAGACCATGATCCTCCTCATTTTCCTGGATGCACACCTCCACACACCCATGTATTTCCTACTTAGTCAGCTCTCCCTTATTGACCTCAATTACATCTCCACCATTGTCCCCAAGATGGCTTCTGATTTTCTGTTTGGAAACAAGACTATCTCCTTCATTGGGTGTGGGGTACAGAGTTTCTTCTTCCTGACTTTAGCAGGTGCAGAAACATTGCTTCTCACCTCTATGGCCTATGATCGTTATGTGGCTATTTGCTTTCCTCTCCATTATCCCATCCGTATGAGCAAAAGAGTGTGTGTGCTGATTGTAACAGGATCTTGGATAATGGGCTCTATCAACTCCTGTGCCCACACTGCATATGCACTCCATATCCCTTATTGCAGATCCAGGGCCATCAATCATTTCTTCTGTGATGTCCCAGCTATGTTGACTCTGGCCTGTGTGGACACCTGGGTCTATGAGTGCACAGTGTTTGTGAGCACCACCCTCTTTCTTGTGTTCCCATTTATTGGTATTGCGTATTCCTATGGTCGAGTTCTCTTTGCTGTCTACCACATGCAGTCAGCAGAAGGCAGGAGGAAGGCCTATACAACCTGCAGCACCCACCTCACTGTGGTGACTTTCTACTATGCACCCTTTGCTTACACCTATCTACGACCAAGATCCCTCCGATCTCCAATAGAGGACAAAGCTCTGGCTGTTTTCTACACCATCCTCACCCCAATGCTCAACCCTATCATCTATAGTCTGAGAAACAAGGAGGTGACAGGGGCGCTGAAACGAGTGATGCAGAGAATCTGCTCTGTAAACATGTAGACATACATTATGCCGCTGTCCCCAAGTGTACATCTCTGAAAATATGTAGCAATTAAAAATATAATTTTATTAATAGAGCAGGAACTAAAAATAATCTAAAGAAGAAAATAACTCATATCTGAATAAAATTGTCTTATGAGTAATATGTACAATTCAAAATAACTTTATTTTCTTTAAGCCATTTTGAAAGCATTAATGTTTGCTAATATGTTGTCAATGAGAATTTGTTTTTGTCATGTAGAAAGAAAAAAAAAATTGCCTAACTGAGGTTGGGCATTCAGTATACCACTTTTACTATTTTCAATTTATTTTCTCATAACTTTCAATTTATTTTCTGCTTATATGTTAAACAGAAAAATAAATGTTTTCTGAATGGGTAGACCTAATTGAGTGATGCCATAAGATTTCTTGTTTTTCTCATACGTGCTCATACGTGCTCATTGTAGACCCTTAACTTGCTTATACAATTCAGTCTTTCTTTTAATTTAGGGAACTTTTTATTAAAGGCAGTTAGCAGAGAGCTCATCAGAGATTCTGAAGTCCTTATGCCATGCAGGGTAATGATAAGTTTATGTTTCTTTTAAGGGAACAAATCCTAGGGAAGTAATTTAACATCAAGTACATCTCAGATAGACAATAAGGACTGGGAGGCATCAATGGAAATCAGGAATGATTAAAGTGGATCAAGGGCTTATCTAATGAGTGGGAGTTGAGAATGTCAAGGCCAGTTACCCTTCTGTCTCACACTCAGCACACATTCTGCTTGTATCCTAAATAGACAAGTACAACTCCTACATAGTGACACCTGTCAATGAAGTTTTATTTTCTACCCATTACCTGTCATTCTTTCACTGAAAGAAATTGAGAAAACATCTATGAATAAATTTTATTCATTAATATTACTGCCCAGTAACATACCTAAACATATTTTATAATATCATTATATCCAATAAAAAGTGTATTCTGTGAGGTGAACTTCTAGGTTGAAATGCTATCATTATAGCAGTAACATGTACAGAAACACTCTTTACTCTCTGAGGCATGGCAGAAAGGAGATGGAGTAAGGAGTCTACATAATTTGCATGATCCAGTACAAAATGAAGATATGGGATCTATTGTTCAAAGAGCAAGGAAAAATGCTACTCAATGTACAAAAATATAATTTTTAAATTAATGTACTAGATATAAAATGTAATAAAATTCCAAGCATTCTAGTGTCATAATTGAGTAGACAACAAGTAAAAACCTTTTATCATATAAAGTTTATTGATCATAATGACTTTTCTGCCTCACTTTTCTGTAAATATATTTTATTAGAATATAAAAAATATATACTTTTAGTGATGTCATTTTCAAACAGTATAATTGAAAGTGCTGCAAGTCATTCACGGAATGTGCTATATCACACTTGATTCTTAACAAATTTTAATTTTGAAAATAATCTTTCTGATAATGCTACTGGGGCAATGAGGAGTGTTATAAGATGTAAAACATTTTGACAAATTTCTGAGAAATCATTTCAACATAAAAATTATTATACATTTAAAACTGATAACTTTTAGGGAATAATTTTATTTTAAAAAGGTCTAATTGTTCATAAGAATCAATTTCATTTAAAATCTTAAATGTAATCACCAGAATTTCAGTGATTCTTCTCACATTTCTGATAACTTGTGATAGTCACACCAAAAAGAAAAAAAAAGAAAGAAATGGCTTCACATTTCAATGCCTGTTAATCCCCCTAACTTAAAAGGCAAAGTAAATTAATATAGAATTTTTGTTATTGTTATTAATTGATTCGTCTGAATTTTCACTAAAAAGTGTACTTGCTTTTTATTCAAATAACCTTTAATTTTAATGTTTTATTTATTTAAATGATCCTTCAGTTTTATTCCTATTTTTAAGCCTATATTTGCTTTGCATTATTGTAGCAATTTTAAAGTCATGGATTCTGAACTTACTGAGGATTCCAAAAATGTGCCTGTTGGTCTTTATTGCAATGACCATGTATACTCTTTTATTTTGTAATAGTTTACTGGCAAAGTTTACTGGTGGTGGTCCTTGTATTCAGTCAGGTAGTTAATATTTCAGGAATGCCGCAAGGACTGACTCTGGGACAGAAGACAAAATCTGCCTCCCACAACCAGTTGGCTCTGCTACCAGAAAAGTCACCTCCTCTTCCCAGGAGTGGCCACTTGTGCTGCGTGTTACCTGTGCTGCTGCTGTTGTCACCACCATCAGTCTAGCCCCTTCTCACCCCAGCTACTCCCTTGGGGTTCAGTGGTGGCATGAACTATCCCAAGGTGTGTGTGTGAGCACAAGGGGGAGGGTGCACGCGTGTGCGCCCACGCTCTGTGCAGCTGTTCTGGCCATATGCCCACGAGGCCAGCCCTAAAAAGGACAGAGTGAGTGTGAGTGGTTAGGGAGGAAATGATGTGGTGCAAAGCAGGATAATTATGGGAATATGTTATGGTCTGAATGTTTGCATGACCCCGAGATTCATATTTGCAAATTCTAACCCCCAGTGTGATAGTATTGGGAGCTGGAGTGATGATTAGACAGGCCATGAGCGCAGAACTCCCATTAAGGGAGTTTTACAAAATAGGCTCTAAGGAGCTTCTTCACTTCTTCCACCATGTAAGGACACAGTGAAAAGGCTCCATCTGTGCATGAGAAGGCAGGCCCCTATCAGGCGCTTAATCTGTGGGCAACTTAATCTTGGACTTCCCAGGCTATACATTGTTACAGCAGCTTGAATGGACTATGGCAGATTGTCTTTTGTCAGATGTTATCATTGAAGTAATCTGAGAGAGAATAGAATGAAGTACTGATGCGCATTGTGGCAGGTGCCTATAGTCCCAGCTACTCGGGAGGCTGAGGCAAGAGAATTGCTTGAGCCCAGGAGTCTGAGCTATGATGCCACAGCACTATACCAAAGGTGACAAAATGAGACTCTTCCTTAAAAAAAAAAAAAAGCAGTGATGCTCAGTTCAGACTCTTCACCCATTTCAGATAGAATTCATGGAGAGAATCAGGATACCTAGCTCTGCTGTTTTCTCTAACATGCCAGGACCTTGGGGAAATCATGCCATGTCTCTGAATTTAGTTTGCTACAGAGCAAAATGGAGGTCTTAATACCCTTTAATATCGGTGAATGGTATCAGTCCCCCTTACTGTCATGTCTGCAAAAGCAAGGATAATTCAAATTTTTGTTCCTAAAACTTTAGAAGTGGGGGAAATTGATTGCTAATGAATATTGAGCACAGTAATGCTATCGGAAGTAATTTTTTGAAATCCTTTACCTGGTAGGTCCTCTGGCTCAGGAAAGCAATAAAATAATACCCACTGATGTTGTGTCTGCACCCACAGGACACTCCTTTCCCCTTAAAATTTTAACATTAGTAAGAAAAATATGAGAAGAAGTCAAATTATTCAAATCTCCTTTCATTTACTACATTGTTTATCAGAGCATACACTGGATATTTTGAAAGTTGGATAGTAGTATGGTAAGGCCTCTCAGTTGGAGAATTACCCAATTCATCTCCACCTGAATCCTTGATTCCTCGATCACTGTTTGTCTATTTAGCCATTTTATTTCCTATCCAACTGTTGTCCTATAATTGTTGTTTTGTACATCTCACTCATTCTTTGTTTCATGTCCTCAGATGAGAAGATGCAAGTTTTATAGCATATGATACTTGGATGATTTTAATAATGCACACGGTGTGAATTTGGAGTTTACTTGAGTATTCAATTAGCAAAGTTTGATTTATGTAAAATAAAATGAGTATTCCTCTTTGAAGAATGAATACAGGCAGTCCCTGAGTTACAAATGCCTGACTTAACATACAACTTGCACTTTCAGTGTTTATTACAGGTAACAGGTAAATGAATGTACCTTTCCCAACTTACATACAATTTTGACTTAAGAACAAACCTACAGAATCTTTCTCAATCATAACCTCAGTCAGGCTGCCTGTACCTTTCTCAACACAACAAATTGTAGTTCAACAATGTGATCATGGGAAATGAACTGAAGAAGAGAAGGGTGTGCCATCCCCAAATATGTGGAATTAGCATATTACTTTGAGACAAAACACTGGAGAAATTGTAGTTTCCAAAAAAGGAATATTTGACCTGTCTTTTTTGGCATGGAATAAGCCATAAAGATTCCTCTGGAGTCTTTAGTGCCCTCTGGTACTCTCCCTATATCAGACCAAGAAAATAGACTTTATCATGAGATTCTAGGAATTGAGGTCCTGCATTGAGCCTGAATAAATAAATTTCCTGAGAATACCCTTATCTTCTACTAACTTTACACCCCCACACATCTCCCAATGACTCCCCTAGAATTTACTACTTATACCTAGATCTCCTTTGTCCTGCCATTTCTTTGTCATTTTTCTTTGACAAATGTATTATTCTTTGTCTGAAAAGTATACAAGCAACTTACTCTAGCCATTTCTCTGGACTTCACACTCTTGTGGCGATCCCCATGTACATGAATAACTAGCAAAACTTGTGTGCTTTTCTGTCATTAATCTACCTTGTGTTAGTTTGGTTCTTAGGCTCAGCCAAAAACCCACATAAGAGCTAAGGGGAGGTGGAGGTGAGCTCTCACTTTCCTAGAAAAGTAGTCATTAACTTCTTGTAACTTATTTTAGCCTCTATTCTACCACAGATTTTCAGGAATTTCAGAACAGTGTTAGCACTACCAGAAGCCCTTTGCACTCCCATTTCCAAACGAAAAGTCCTCCCTGTACCATATCTACTTACCATTCTATCTCATAGTAATATTGTTCATTTATAATTTTAAGTCCTAAAAAAGGTATCTTTAAACACCATAGGTTACTTTTAACTGCTTATTCTACTGTGTTATTCTCTGTGTTTGGCCTCTTTTATTTAGATTTATATTTGCAGTATGCTTTCATGTCTCCATCCTTCATTTTTATTCACATGTGGTATTTCACTGTATCATCTCATCACAATGTCTTTACCCATTTTAGAG